AGAAAATCAAAAATCCTTTAAAACGATTCCAAACACGGCCACTTTATCTCAAAAAACAAAAAAGTTACACACTAAAAACGAATTTTAAACAGTCGACGATCGCCTGTCAAAATTCGTCAAAAAAGTTACATGTATCGGGTTGCCATGGTTACCGCGTTGTAGGAAATTAAAAATCCTTTAAAATGAGTCCAAACACGGTGGGGTTATCTCAACAAATAAAAAAGTTACAGACTAAAAATGAATTAAAAACAAACGAAAATCGGCTGTCAAAATATTTTTTAAATCAACATATCTCGGTTGTTTTTAAAGATAACCCCATCGTGTTTGGACTCAATTTAAAGCATTTTTACCGTAGATTACGATTTTTAATAAGAAAATTTATCATTATTGTTTTTCTGTCATCTTAGGAAACAATATATATTATGACAATTTTCGATTACAACATCTTAATCTTCATTAAAAACCCTTTAAAATGAGTCCAAACACGATGGGGTTATCTTTTAAAACAAAAAATGACAAGTTAAATATTAAGCCGAATATTTCAAGATGGCGACTGATATTTATTTTTATTTTTCTATAATTATAAGTTGCTTTTAGAAGAGGCTTTCTATGATTGTAGTATTAACACAAAAATTTCAAATAAATTAAAAGATAAGATTTTCAAGATGGCGACTTTTAAAACGAAATTAACATTGCCGGATTGATTTTGAAGATAACCTCGTCGTGTTTGGACTCATTTGACACGAATATTCNTTTAATGCATGAAATACTTTCTTTTTTCTTGGGTTATTTTCGATTATTAAAAAATTATTGAAATTTAAAAATTTTATTTCAAATTTTCTCGATTTAAAAACCGTAAGTGATCGGAAAATTTACTTATTACGCATTACCATGGTTACCAAGTTGTAGAAAATCAAAAATCCTTTAAAACGACTCCAAACACGGCAACTTTATCTCAAAAAACAAAAAAGTTACACACTAAAAACGAATTTTAAACAGTCGACAATCGCCTGTCAAAATATTTTTTAAATCAACATATCTCGGTTATTTTTAAAGATAACCCCATCGTGTTTGGACTCAATTTAAAGCATTTTTACCGTAGATTACGATTTTTAATAAGAAAATTTATCATTATTGTTTTTCTGACAACTTAGGAAACAATATAATATGTTATGACAATTTTCGATTACAAAATTCTTAATCTGTATGAAAAATCCTTTAAAATGACACCAAACACGGCGGGGTTATCATAAAATCAACATATATCTTTCAAAATGGCGACCATTAAAATAAATTTTAATTTTATTATTTTTTTAAAGTTTTCATAAAAATATTCTTAATCTGCATAAAAAATCCTTTAAAATGAGTACCAACTCGATGGGGTTATCACTAAAAACAATAATTTCAAGATGGCGACTTTAATGGTAAAACTATCATAATTCGGACAATTTTAAAGATAACCCCATCGTGTTTGGACTCATTCCAAAGGAAATCTTATATCCTCCAAGGAAATAATATCTTTGGCACGTTTCAATTAAAAAAATTTTATCATTAATTTTCAATATGGCAACCTTAATTAAATAATTAAGTTTTACTCAAAAAATTCTACATTTGCTTAAAAATTTCTTCAAAATAAACACAAACACCGTAAGGTTACCACTAAAAAACAAATATTTCAAGATGGCGGCTTTAAAAACAAAATTAATACTACAGGATTGCTTTTGAATCATTTCAAACGAAGGTTTTAACTCATAAATTCTAAATCTGCATGAAAAATCCGTTAATATGAGTACAAACTCGATCATTAAAATTGTTTTTAATTTCAAAATGGCGACTTTTACGCTAAAATTATCACAACGTGGACATTTTAAAAGATACTCGTATAACCCAACGTGTTTGGACTCATTTTGAAGGAATTTTTATTTACTATAAGAAAATAATCCTTTTAGAAATTTAATAATTTTCAAAATGGCGGCCAAAAATTGTTTTTTTTTTGACGATTTTAAAATTTAACTCAAAAATTCTTAATCTGCATGAAAAATCCTTTAAAATGAGCCCAAACACTATTGGTGTATTTTTAAAAACAAAGAAGATAACCATGATATAAAAAGAATTTCAAGATGGCGTCTTTTATAATAATAATCATCATAACACGAGGACCTTTAAAGATATTCCCTACGTGTTTGGACTTATTTTGAAGGAATTTTTATTTACTACAAGTAAATGATTTTTTTGGAAATTTTGATTAAAAATTTTTCAAAATGGCGACCAAAAATTGTTTTTTTTTGATGATTTTAAAATTTAACTCAAAAATTCTTAATCTGCATGAAAAATCCTTTAAAATGAGCCCAAACACTATTGGGTTATATTTATAAACAAAGAAGATAACCCTAAAATGAAAAAGAAATATTTCAAGATGGCGATAAAATTTTGTGATTTGATTGAAATTAAATTTATTTCTTCAACAATCTCCAAATTAACCAAACGAGATAATGATGGAGTAAATTTTAATCAATAAATTTTAAATATTATTTTCAAAATGGCGGTTGTGTCATTAACTTTTTTCTTTTTAAAGATAACATCATCGTGTTTGGGGTCATTTTAAAGCATTTTTTATTTCCTACACGAAAATAATCTTTTTGGAAATTTTAATTAAAAAATTTTGATGGTTAATTTTCAAAATGGCGACTTGACATTGTTTTTTTTTAATTAACTCAAAAATTCTTAATCTGCAAGAAGAATCCTTTAAAATGAGTCTAAACATGATTGCGTTATCTTTACAAACAAAGAAGATAACCTTAAAATGAAAAAAGAAATATTTCAAGATGGCGATTAAATTTTGTGATTTGATTGAAATTAAATTTATTTCTTCAACATTCTCCAAATTAACCAAACGAGATAATGATGGAGTAAATTTTAATCAATAAATTTTAATTATTATTTTCAAAATGGCGGTTGTGTCATTAACTTTTTTCTTTTTAAAGATAACATCATCGTGTTTNACCATTAAAATAAATTTTAATTTTATTATTTTAAATTTAACTCAAAAATTCTTAATCTGCATGAAAAATCCTTTAAAATGAGCCCAAACACTATTGGTGTATTTTTAAAAACAAAGAAGATAACCATAATATAAAAAGAATTTCAAGATGGCGTCTTTTATAATAATAATCATCATAACACGAGGACCTTTAAAGATATTCCCTACGTGTTTGGACTTATTTTGAAGGAATTTTTATTTACTACAAGTAAATGATTTTTTTGGAAATTTTGATTAAAAATTTTTCAAAATGGCGACCAAAAATTGTTTTTTTTTGATGATTTTAAAATTTAACTCAAAAATTCTTAATCTGCATGAAAAATCCTTTAAAATGAGCCCAAACACTATTGGGTTATATTTATAAACAAAGAAGATAACCCTAAAATGAAAAAGAAATATTTCAAGATGGCGATAAAATTTTGTGATTTGATTGAAATTAAATTTATTTCTTCAACAATCTCCAAATTAACCAAACGAGATAATGATGGAGTAAATTTTAATCAATAAATTTTAAATATTATTTTCAAAATGGCGGTTGTGTCATTAACTTTTTTCTTTTTAAAGATAACATCATCGTGTTTGGGGTCATTTTAAAGCATTTTTTATTTCCTACACGAAAATAATCTTTTTGGAAATTTTAATTAAAAAATTTTGATGGTTAATTTTCAAAATGGCGACTTGACATTGTTTTTTTTTAATTAACTCAAAAATTTTTAATCTGCAAGAAGAATCCTTTAAAATGAGCCTAAACACTATTGCGTTATCTTTACAAATAAAGAAGATAACCCTAAAATAAAAAAGAAATATTTCAAGATGGCGATTAAATTTTGTGATTTGATTGAAATTAAATTTATTTCTTCAACAATCTCCAAATTAACCAAACTAGATAATGATGAAGTAAATTTTAATCAATAAATTTTAAATATTATTTTCAAAATGGCGGTTGTGTCATTAACTTTTTTCTTTTTAAAGATAACATCATCGTGTTTGGGGTCGTTTTAAAGCATTTTTTATTTCCTACACGAAAATAATCTTTTTGGAAATTTTAATTAAAAAATTTTGATGGTTAATTTTCAAAATGGCGATTGTGTCATTAACTTTTTTCTTTTTAAAGATAACCCCATCGTGTTTGGGCTCATTTTAAAGCATTTTTTATTTCCTACCACAAAATATAAGTTTTAACAAATTTTCATGGAAAAGTTAATGGCGATTTTTCATTTATTCATTAATTCTCATAACTTTTTTCTTTTTAAAAATAACCCCAACGTGTTTGTACTCATTTTGAAGCATTTCTTACGCAATTTCAAATGACTAATGAAGAACAGCAGATATTTCTCCACACTCCACCGATTCTAAGCAATTCCCATTAACCTCCTTGTCTTATTGCCCATCTAAAGTAATAACACATCTTCAAGTTTAGTGCAACAATTCAGACTTTGAGCGGATAACATTGATGACGTGTACAGGTTTGAAAAGCCGCCGCCGCGGAGTTGGAGTATACGCGAATTTCATACCTCGGGGGATTTTGGGGGTGGGATGGGGCGCCGTTCAGGTTATGTAAGCCACACGACGAGTTCAGCAGGGATTTAATCCGCACCCCCTTCGCCTCCTCAACACGTCTAATTACCGTTATTAATGTATAGCGAGTTGTTAACCCACTTAAAACGAAAATGTGGAAGGGGTTGATGTTGATACGAAAATCAAAAATGTATTTACCGGGATATTTATAATTGGGGTTTCAAGGAAGTCATTTTAAACAGATCTAAAATAGACAAGCAAACAAAGTCATTTCCTCCCGCTTCTTTACTCTTTACATAACATGTGACTAAGAAACGGACGCACCCTCGTAGAAGCGTTGGGGTGTGACGCACATTTCACGGGGGTTGTTGCAAAAACTCTTAATAACTTAACATTTAACGAGTTAAAAAAAAAATGTTTAAAAATCGCTTATTTTATTTACCTTCAGAAATTCCTGTCAACACTAAAACGATGAAATTAATTTGAAAACAAATTTTAACTCGATTCATTTTAAAAATTAAAAAAACACAAACACTAATGATCACTACATCGTTAAGATTAAACACAAAGTGATTAAAGAGTCTTTAAAATACTTAAACTCATCAACATATTATTAAGATTAAATTAATTTTTTGTTGGAAAGTTTTTAAAAAAAATTATTGGAAATTTTTTCGTTTTCGTCGACAAAAAAAATGTCGAGTGTACGCCGCGCGTTACCCCGACGATGGTTCGAGTCGTACTGAGTCGTACTAAATCGTTCGCCGAAGACCCCGCTTCGTTCGTCTTCGGAAAATCTCTCCCCACCCTTTATTTCACGACCACCACCACCGACGTAATAATTAAATGATTATTAAGTTGCGAGTTCGATGAAACTCGAAGTAAAAAAGAAAAAAATTTTGTATATTCAATAAAAAAAATAAAATAAATAAAAATGGATGGAGATGGAGGTAGCAGCTGCTAGGCTCTTTCACGGATGGCAAAGCACCGGGTATAATAGGACAAATAGCGTTTGATTGCCGACGATCAAACAGGCCCTGACTTGCTCTTTTACCCCGGCCTCCTTTTCTTTTATTATTGCACCCCCCTCGCCCTGCTTTTGTTCCCGAAATTCCCGTCTTTTTGGGTCCCGAACCTCGTTTACTAATCTGGGGTGTGTTATCCACGCTTTTCAAACGGATAAATACCTTAATTTTACCGAGATAAATTCGAATGCAAAAAAAAAACTTACCTAAGAAGAAAATTGTTGAAAAATGTCTCACCTGCAACAAAAAAAAAAAAAATAATGACATAATTGTCTATGTGATGTATAAATCTAGTTTTCATTGTTTTTTAGAGCTGGATTTTTACTGAACTAAAACTAAGAACTAGAAAGTTTCGGGTTTAGTCGTGCGTTTTCAGAAATCGTTTATTCTCACTTTGCCGAGGACGCTTGCGGCCGAGGCAGTGGTTGTGCAATAATACCAATATTGAGCTAATCTATACTGTTGGATCTAGCCCCTCGCCCGTAAGCGACCTTGACGATATTAGAGAGGATCGTGTTTTTAATGTTTTGGAAAGTGAACCAAGTGTATGAAAAACCGTTTATCCTCACTCTGCCGAGGTCGCTTGCGGGCGAGGCAGTGGTTGTGTAACAATACCAACATTAAGTTAGTGCTTACTTGGCTCTAGCGCCTCGCCCGCAAGTGACCTTGGCGCACAGTGGTCAATTTCATGAATTTAGAAGGACAAAATTCATACCTCAAAAACCCAGCAAGCTACGGCAATGAAATTTCTTATGTAGCTGTTAGTAACAAAATCTAAGATTTGTATCAAGTTTGGATTATATTCGTCAACCGGAAGTGGTACTTTATTTGAAACGATATTGAACTTGTTCTACAGGGTGTTCCGGTGACTCGGGGAATAAAATTAACCTCATATACTAGAGCAAAAATGATGACGATTCGTGAAAAAAAATTATTATAAAAGTCTTCAAATGGTCAAGATATAGGCCATCAAAGTTCAGAAGTTTTAACACATTTTTCTGAATATTTTCAATACCATTTATGGTAGAGCGTTGAAATTTGGTACAGGTAAACAAATATCAAGCAAAATCATTGAACCAATTTTGACTTTGATCGGGCGGCGGCAACCATGCTATACAGGCTGTCCCTAAAATTTGTTTGCTCAGAACTTTTTTGTTCGCTCGTAATCCTACATTTATTTTTGTACTTTTTAATAGAAAATTTATTTTAGAAACTATTATCACTCTTTGAAAATTTTGATAACATTGACCGTTTTCGAGTTATATGCGAAAGTATTAAGCTTCGATTTCAATGGTAACACTAAAAAACAAAAATCTTCGAAAAAGTCAAGGTTGGCCATGGCAATTAAAAAAACAAATTGAGCTGTTAACTTGCTTATGTCGTTTAAACACAAATGATAGTTTTTTGTTAGTTAAGTTTTTATTAATTTTAAGTGTTCAAAATGGAGTTACACATTTAGTGAACAAACTGACATGATTTTGACATTAGGGGAATGTCATGGAAACGCCGTAGCAGCCACTAACCGTTATTGGGAGAAATTTCCGAATCGCAGAGCGCCCAATCGAAAAACATTTTTAAGGACTGAAACCCGTTTAAGGGAAAATGGGACGTTTAAGCCGAAATTTAGTAAGTAACAGTAACGTAAGATCAGTCCGAACACCCGAACTAGAAGAAGATATTCTAGACTACGTAGAAGAAAATACTACAGCTAGTACTTTGGATATGGCGAGGCACTTTTTAACTTCAAAAGCAACTGTTTGGAGTGTTCTTCACTAGCAACAACTTTATCCATTTCATTGTTATAAAGTTCGGGAAGTTCGACTGGCTGATTACCCACTGCGACTGCAATATTGCCAAACAATACAGCATAAAATCCAAATTGATGATCAGTTTTAAGAAAAAGTGCTTTTTACAGATGAATCCACTTTTTCTAAAGATGGAATCTTCAATTTGAGAAATTTACATAGTTGGGCGGACGAAAATCCAAGATTTAAGACATACATACAGGCGACATTTAGAAGAATTAGATGATTTTTTAGATGATGGTCCTTTAAACACAAGGCAAGCAATGTGGTATATGCATAATGGTGCTCCTGTGCATAGCACACAAGCTGTCCAAGAATTTCTGAGGGAACGTTTTCCGGGACGGTGGATTGGACTAGGAGTAGGTGCATCGATAAGTTGGCCCCCCGATCGCCGGATCTTACACCTGTAGATTTTTATTTATGGGGACGCGTTAAATCGCTAATTTACTGCGTTTAAATCAGTTGATCGAAAAAAAAAAAAAAGTTTGTTCTTTTTTATTTATTACTATTTGTTTATAATTTTATTGTTATTGTTAATATTTTTGTTAGAATGTTTGTTATGTTCTTGTTTGTTGTAACCGGAAATTAAATTTATTGTTTTGGAAATTACATTCTTTTATTCAACTAAAATAAATTAACACTGGATTTAACTAAGTCTGCACTTAGAAATGTATGCAAATAATGGTTATTAGGTCAGTTCGTTTTTCAATTGTCATCGCCAACTCAGATCTTAAGGAATATGTTTCCTTTTTTTGTTTGTTACGATTGAAATCAAAGCTTAACATTTTCGCGTATAACTCGAAAACGGTAAATGTTATCAAAATTTTCAAAGAGTGATAATAGTTTCTAAAATAAATTTTCTATTAAAAAGTACAAAAATAAATGTAGGGTTACGAGCGAACAAAAAAGTTCTGAGCAAACAAATTTTAGGGACACCTGTATAGCATGGTTGCCGCCGCCCGATCAAAGTCAAAATTGGTTCAATGATTTTGCTTGATATTTTTTTACCCTGTACCAAATTTCAACGCTCTACCATAAATGGTATTGAAAATATTTAGAAAAATGTGTTAAAATTTCTGAACTTTGATGGCCCATATCTTAGCCATTTGAAGACTTTTATAATAATTTTTTTTCACGAATCGTCATCATTTTTGCTCTAGTATATGAGGTTAATTTTATGCCCCGAGTCACCGGAACACCCTGTATACAGGGTGAGTAAGAAAGAATGGGAAATCCGAATATCGGAGACACTAGACACCAAAATATGACGATTTAACCTAACATGTCTTATACAAATGTCGGTGGTTTTTAATACACAGAGTGTTGAAAGTTAATTTTTTATTTCGAAATTTTTTGATAATTTTGAAGGGATTTGTACTATTAACATAAAATTTGGTAGTTAGATGTTTTCGAGCATGAGAAATATGAATTGTTTTGTGATTAGTCGTAGAGGGCGCTAGATACACGCTGCTCGTTTGATAAATCAAATCATAAGTTTTTTGGCTCGACAGCTACGACCAATAAGAGCTGCAAATCACAAAGAGCATTCAATTTTACATCATACTATCAAATTTTATGTTAATAGTACAAAAAGCTTCAAAATTATCAAGAAATTTCGAAATAAGAATTTAATGCCTCGAAAACTTACGAAAACTTAGCCGAGATACAGGAGGTGTCTGAAAATCGTAAATTTCAAACACTCCCTGTATGTCAAAAACGAAGAAGGCTATGAAAATTTGGTTTGCGCCATTGTAAGTTTCACAAAAACGTAACTGAGGTTCGCGAAAACCGCAACTTTCTATCTTTCATAATAACTGAGATACCCTGCAAACCCATCGAAATTTGGACATCCTGTACATGTAAACTGGCATTTTACAGAATAATAGGATAAATGCATGAAATTAATTAATAATTTCTTTGTAGTCATATAGATATGTAGATATTAAATATCAGTCAAATTGCGTAACCGGAAGTGGTCAAGTTTGTTTATTTAGGAGGTTCATATACAAACTTGTTTTGTAATTGATTGCAAGAAAAACGTTCTAGTCGATTAATTTGGAGTATTTCATGAATTTTTATGGATTCATATCCATTTATGTGTTTTTGATACAATTAAATTGTAATATAAACTGTAGAATGTGATTAGTATAGCTTTTCAACCGCTTATTATGATAAATATAATAGCCTTTTTAATATACAAATTAAATTATATTTTAAAAAAATATAAATTAGGGGGCGGAAATTTAGTATCGCGCATAAATTCTATTGAAATTTTTATTTAAAGTTAGTATCCGCGTTTGTGACACTCTTTATTTCATTTCGTTAGGGTTGACAATGAGGATATGAATCCACTTTACTTGAGATATGAAGATGGCACCTTCATATCAATCATATCACTTTACGCCACTATGTTACCTCATTTTTGTCACATTCCTCATTTGATAGTCAATATTTTCCAAAGTCTATTTTCAGTGGAAGTAAGTAAAGTCTTATATACCATCTTATAGCTAATCTTCAGGTTACAAAATAAAGAAAGAATTGTGATGATTCATTATGAACCGTGCAAGAAAAATCAAATAGAAATGTGAACATGTGATGTTAATTTTTTAAATTTAAGAACTAAAGCCTAGTAAACTAAATAAACGTAGTTATATATACTAGCTGTATTATAAATACAGTTAAAGGTATGGACTATCACTATACCGGGTGTAACAGGATCATGGACACCCCCCGTATGTCCTTTAGTTTTGAAGATAATTGATTCAAATTTGGGCCATCCTATACACATGATAAAAGACACTTTTTGACATACAATTAATTTTTTTTTTCAATTCCGGTTTCGCCGGAAGTGAC